CTGAGATTCTTTTTCAAAGAAAGTGATGATAAGTAAATTCTGGTCTAACCTTCATCCTCTGTGACACTTTTGCCTCTTTATCATGTAGCATTTGACTCTGATGCTCCTGTTAGAGGCAGGGGAGGACCAGCGTGCCCAGCAGCCCTCCCTCTCCATGCTGCCTTCCCCCTTGCAAGTCCCCTGCACACATTTAGATCTCTTCTGCTGAGCTCTGTAAAGCAGAAGGAGAGCACAGCTCCTTTGATGTTCTTGATCTAAATAGCAAGTTATCATCTGAATTAAAAGGGAGAGACTGCACGGATGAAAGAGAAGCAATATGCTTATTTTCTGGTCTAGTAGAAAACAGTGCTGTTACTCTACCTGTGTCCCAAGCCCATACGCAAATAATTGGGAATTTGCTGTCTTAATGGCTGTTGTTTTTTTTTTATTGTACCTCTGTGACTGTGTGGGTGAATGTGAAAAGGTTTTTGCACATGTATATATGTATTTTTGGTAGACACTGCACAGCTAAAGCCTCTTTTAATTTTCTCTCTAATTTATTTTTAATTTTGTAACCCCTCAGGGGTAAATCCTTATTATATAATGTAAAATCATCTCTTCTACAAGGCAGCTTATTTGTTGATTTTTAATTTGAGCCAGCAGAGGCAAAGATGTAGCTTTTTTCCAAACACTGAGAGCTCCTCTGTATATATAGCTGTCAAGTGTGTGTCTCCCTGCAAAATTAGTAAAAAATGTAAAACCTAAACCTATCCTTCTAGAAAGGTCAAAGAGGAGGTTTGTATTTCTCTGTGTTAACAGTATGTTAGACTTCTGAATCTAAAAACATTCTTAATATGCAATTTGCTTTTAAATCTACATTACATTTGGATTAGACTGAATACGAAGGCTTACATTTTCAAAAGCTCGAGTGCTGACAGAAGTTAGGGGTTTGGTTTTTGAAAGGGGATCTCCATCAAAAGGTGGCACTGTCTGAAGGTGGCATTACACTGTGCACTCACATAAATGCATGTTCGCCAACATCAATACATGCTGTTGGCTTGCTGGAAATGTTGTCTTTAAGCTAACCTGCACACTTTACGATTTAGTATTTGTTTATATGACTGGCTGGAAGACAGTCACAGTCCTATTGAGAAAATAACAAAAACACATGTTCTGACATAATCTCTCTTCCCTTTACATTCAGTGGGAGAGATGTTTATTTTCAAAACACTGGTTATCTCATCCTAAACAATTCATCTGGAATATGTTAGGTGAAAAATGCTTTAAAAATGCCTTACCAGCTAGTTTAGGTGTAGGCATCTACATTTGGTCCTTCTGGCCTACAATGCTTACAACTCAAAAGACCTGAAAAATTAGTTTGCTTTGTCATCAAGGAAATAAAAAAAACCTAGGTTGTCTCTTTTTGTTTTGTTTTTAATTAAGTGTGATATTTTTTCCTCCACTTTGTTTTTATGCAAAGGTGATGTTTATTATTATTCAGGATGTAGACTTTTGAATGAAGCTCTTGATTCCCTCTGCTTCTCATTTTAGTCTTCCCAAGTTAAGTCAAGGCTTCCCACTTACCTCCCTAACTCCCATTTCACTTCTTGTTGTCTCCGAATTCCCTGAGGATGCCATCTGTGATTGCTGTCCAGAGGTCCAGTCGTGCTGGCAGTCCATGCCTTCTCCAGGCTGTCTTCCACTGTTGCCCTTACCGGGTTACTCTTGCAAAAGTGTGGCATTTGAATATGTTGGCTTTATTTCAGCCCCATCTCAAAACCAGGACTCCACCTGCCTCTTCCTTGATTTGTCCATAGCATTGGACTGACACTCACTGCAGATGATCATCTTCTTTCTCCTGCCCTTCTCCGCAGAAAATCTCCCACTTCAGGAGCGATCCTTTCCCTTCTATGAATTGTGATGACAATGCCAAAAAAATAGAAAACAGTAAACAAACAACAGTCCCCAGATTAACAATGTTAAACATGCATTGCTTTTTGCTCAGATATACCCTCAGATGGAGGCTGCCAGTTTTGCTAATGCTTGTAGATCTGCACAACTGATACGTTAAAGGTAAATGATAATAATAATGTGGGCAGAGGGATGCAGGTCAGACCTTTCTTACCACATTTACACACTAATAGGAGATGCAGCAAGTGAGTGGAAGTGAAGACTACGTATGTTCCACAGAGAAAGGTGCAGCTCCCACACAAGTTTTTTTTCCAGGAACAAATTCTCTGTTTTATTTTTGTCACACTGAACGCCTTTACATCTCTCTGCTTTCCACTGGGCAAGACAAAGACACTTGCTGTGAAGCTAAACCAATGTTCATCAGAGCTGCATAGTGCCTGCATAAATTCATTTCGGCCTTGCTCTTTGCGCTGCAGAGCCTTCTCAGCTGAACCTGATGTTTTGCGGTTTGGAATATCTGAGAGCTGTGTATCAAAGATAAAATACCACTCGCCAAATATTTTTCTTATTTCTGTCATTAGCCCAGAAGGGATTGAGAAAGCAAAAGAGAGAACTCTGTGTGTCAGTTAAAATTGCAGATTTAATTTCCATCTCTGGAAACTCTGACTTTACCTGTTAGCCAGAAGTCGTGACCATACATTCCTTTTTAAAGCTAACTTATTTGGCCACATCTGAACAATACAGTGATCTTCGGTTGGAAACTGAAGCTGGAGAAAGCAAGCACTGGCAAACCAAAGGTGTCAAAAGATTCCTTGAGATTTGTCCGTAGTCCTTGCTCAGGCAGCCTAATGCCAGTGCCAGTTCTTGAACCTGCTTCTTCTTTCTGCTTTGTAGGTACCACCAAGGTCTTACTGTCACAAAAACAGATTTAGGTGGGTGTTGGAACAGAGACTGCAGTGACTCTGAGAGGTTTATACTGTCTAATAGTTTGATGTCTTTGATTTTTAAACTTTCTCTTTACAATTAACAAGAAAAATCTCTCTGAAGTGTTAACCATGCTTTTCCATTGCATTGATGTTTTTCAGCTGGTGTTCTAAAGGTATTATCTGGGTAGCACAAGAGTTAGAGATACAGTTTCAGTACCTGGAAAGGATCTATCTGCATGTTTTACACTGATTTTAGTACGAATTAGGACATCTAATCTCAAATGCTTTTTTGCAAATACCTCCCTAAATGTATTAAAAAATAAAATCTACAATATTCCTTTTTCTTTATGCTGAAATCATCATAACAAATACATAAATGTAGTCATAATTTCTGCCTGCAGTGCATTGTTCCTGTACCCCGGTACAAACAAAGGGTGGGAATTTCTTTTTACTGAGTTCTTCTGTGAGTTGGTGGTAACAGGAAAGTGTGGTATGGTTCAATGAACTGACTCATTCTTATTTAGGGTCTTAAATAATTAGCCTACTCACCACCTTTTTCTGCTATTTCTCTGCTGCTTACTGAGAGAAAGAGAAAGAGAAGGGAGGGAAGGAAGGAAGGAAAGGAAGGAAAGCTTTTTAGCATTTACAGTTTTGCACTCAGTGTCATTATCACTGTAACAAATAATTAGGTTGTTGCCTAATAATATCCCACTGGAAGTGTGTATGTGTGACCATCTGTTAATGAAAAATTTCAAATTATTCAGATGCTTGGTTCAGGTAAATACCCATTCAGTTCACTCAGCGGGGCCAAGATTTAACATCTAAATCTTGAATCAACTTCTGAAGTAATTATCTGTTTTTCTGTGATTGCGTCTTATAAGATCTGAGATAGTCCTGTGCTATAGAGAGCCTGCTGCTTCTGATGGTATAGCAGCACATATATCACTGGGTCTGTTTGAACCAGAGAGCTAACACACTTGTGATGATGGAAAATGATGAGGGACAATTGGGAAGCCTGAGCAAGTTTTGGTGGCAATTGACAATAATGTTCCTTTTCTTCTGTATTTTCCATCACTCATTTCGATGATCACAGGCACTTAGAAAGGCTGCAGCAACACGAGCAAACCTCAGAATAGTGGGAGGTTTTTTTAAACTTTCAAGACAGTTCAAATTCCATTTATGGTACTTCGGCAGTACAGGTCAACCCTACTTAGATCCCTGTTTAGCCTACAGACTCTTAAAGACCTCCAGTCACACTGTGTTCAGTCACAGTCGGTATGTCCATCCCCTTTCACAGTGGGGTACCATCATGTCTGGAGCTTGCTGTCATGCAAATAAGTAACAGGTTTGTCCACCCTCACTAATGAGCTGGTTTCTTTTGAAGGGAGAACAGTAATAATCCCTAGCCTAGCATGAGGAATGCTTTGACCTTTTGAAAGTTGTGGGTTTGATCTGCAGGCCGTATTGTACTGTCAATCTTCACGTAGTGGAAATTAAGTACTGGGTGATTGGCAGGGCTCCTGTAGAAGGCAGAGAACCTGCCTACTTCAGAAATCGATCCTGGGAGCAGGGCAACCTGTCACGCAAAATCTGCTTGTCTCAGTGCAGCTTTTCTCTAAACAAGTCTGATACTTTGAACCTCTAGGATCGTAATAACTATCCTTGGAACAAGACCTGTAATCTGCCCAAAGGTGGTGCTGTTATTCTCATGCTCTAATATTCCATCATATTTGCAAATACTCTTATCTCCCACATCTGGCAAACCCTCTTGCATAATGTGTGATACAACATTTATCAGTATGTATGGAAAGTATAAATGTATGTAATAAACTGCTCTATTTAGCATTTTATATGTGTATATATATGTGTATATATAAAAGTAAAACTAAGAAAACATTTACAGTCTGCCCAAGCTGCACTTGTTTTTCCTGGCATTGCTTACATCTTAAGTGAAGTGGCAATCTGACCCTCACATACTACTTCGCCAAGCTGGCTGTTTTAATATCTGCGAGACAAATAGGTTGTGTTAGTTTTCACCTCCTTGCGGTACCTCTTTATAGATGGTGCTTTTCAACTGCATATTGTAAATGCGAGAGATCTTCTAGATAATTTCTCTTGACAGGCAAGTATTTTGTGCATGTAAACCTAACTCTTTTGCATAATTCTTCTTGTTTATTACCACAGGAGAAGAAAACTTGCTGGCAATTTTGAAAAGGAGATGGTGGAAGTACATGATCCTGGGGATAATAGATATAGAAGCCAATTACCTGGTAGTCAAAGCTTATCAATACACCACTCTTACTAGTGTACAGGTAAGGACTCAAAGGATTTTCCCTTTTGAGGTAAGATAATAGGCCCAATGAGGTCAATGGTGCAGTGTCCATTGGCTTCAGTGCACTAATGGCTAGTTGCTGCCTGTGTCTTCTGTGTACTTTTTAATGCTGTCTCATGAGACGCGTTTTTTTCATGTTGGACTATTTTTATTACTCAGTATTTTCCAAACTGTACAAAAACATACTGTGCTAAACCATTCATAATCACATTTTTGGCGTTATCTACTTCATTGTTCCTTTAAGAAAATATTTTCAGATGGGCTGAAATGTTTTTCTCACTTTATATTGTACTTGGAAAAAATACAAGCACTTCTTTTAGGATTCCATAATTAGAGTGCAAAAGTTGTCATTAAGTACAGTGAATGTAGTTATGATGAAGAAGTCTTACTTCAATGCAAGCAGTTAGATGTGTTGTGTTATATAACAGCTTAACCGCAGCTATCAAAAAGTGTACTCTCCCTTAAAAAATTATACGTGCGGTGAACAAAAGCTAGGGTAGCAATTCCTCCAAAGATCTAACCTGTGTATTTTAAATACAACACAAAAGAATCAGGCTTCCTCCCATTTAAGTGAACGGGAAGTGAATAATAGAAACATTTTTAAGAGACTGGAATTTGTCTATCTTGGGAAATCATTGCATACTTCATTGCTACTTGTTCTAAAACATACCTACTCCCTTTTTACATTATCTCTAAATAACTGGGCAACACTAGGTAGTGTTCAGTGTATTTTACACCTTATTTGCCTGAAGTTTGCATTAGAGCCAGTAAAATAGAGGAGCACCAGTTAATGTTCTGCAGAATCAAAGCTGATTAGGAATATATCTCTTCCATAGTTGAAAAGGGATATTGGAAAATACTGAGCTTGTTTAGCTGAATAAGAAGCAAAAATAGAAGAACACTATGAATTCAAGGAATCCGAATGTGAGGTTTATACTAAATATTCACAAATGCCTCTGCCATCAGAATCTTGGTTTGAGAATTCTTTGAAACGTGCCCAGACAACGTAATACTGCTTTTAACACTTTTCCAAATCAGATTACTCAGTATAGGGTAAAGCATAAACCCACATAAACCTCATACTGTCTGATTTTATAGCTACTAAGAGCCTTAAAGAGAAAAGCAAAAGCTGAATTGCGTCTTTTGCATGTTCACTCATAGCAAGTAGGAATAGCGGACTGAGCAAGATGATCCAGGTCATTAAATACTGTCTCCCACAGCCACCAACAAGCATGTATCAGAGGTTCGTCTGGACGGACCCATGAAGCACCAATCGCAGAAGATGCAAACCCTCCTGCTCTTCTGCAATGATCATGGCCTTTAGTGTAAGAGATCAAAAACTGCAGTGCGAGGAGGAAGCAGGCAGGAGAGTTCAAGGGCATTGCCTGTGTCTCAGCAGGGAATTTGTTAGCTGAAATGAGCCACACTCTCCTTTTAGACTGAGAGAGAGGAAGGGTAGAACACGAGAACTGTCACAGGACGCAGACCGCATTGTGTCCTTTTTAGACCTCTTCCACATAAAGATTACAACAGAGTTCAGGTCTCTTTCCCATGTAGCTTGAAGGAGGGAAGAGGTAGAAGCTCAAATGTCGTCGAGTTTTTTTCCAGGAGTGGAATGAATGCAGTGTCTCCTTTTCCCATAGCTGTCCTGGATTGCTCGGATACACGTGGAGTGACTGGGAATACCCATTGCATTTTAAATTCACTTCATGCCTTAATTTGAATGAGCTTCTAAGTATAGAGAAGCCCAAAGGTATGGTGAGAATGGGACAAGTATGAAGTAGTGCATTAAGATGTTGAATCAAATGGCACATTTTATGAAATGTAGCCAAACACCACCCTATTTCATTTAAAGATGAAACAGAAGAAGCTCAGGGCATTATTCAGCCTGAAACAGCATTGGCCAAAGTCTGTAATGGTATGAGATGAAGACTGAAGAAATGGAAAGTAAAAGATGAAAAAAAGCAAGCTTTTCCTAGAATCTGATTTCTGAAGAAGCAAATAGGACCACTCTCTCGAGAGCATCTTCCGAAAGGCTTGATCCTGCAAGAGCACTACCTGTGAGGCCATAAACACTTGCTAGCACATAGCAAGAAGTGTTCAAATCCTTTCAGATTTCAGACCTGAGAAACCATTACTACCTAACACAAATCAGCATGGCTTCGACTGAAGGCTGTGGGAGCTATGCCAATGTATACATTGACTGAGAATCGAGCCCCTCAAGTCAATTCCGGGGGATTTTATTGTCAACAGGCTTTTCACCAAGGCTTTTTTGATGGGGAGAATATAAGAGTTTTTGAAATTGTCACTTCAGTAAATGAGAAATCTTGCAGTATTTTTATAGTGGTGGTACATGGACCATTTCAGTAGGAAATCAGTTTTACAGCATATACTTTTTTTCCACACAGTATCTCTGCTCCGTCATGCAAAACTAACATGTGAGTGTACTGCGCTTGTGGTGCTTTTAGGCAGAAAACATTAAGCTGCTCCCAGTAAAAAGCCAAAGTTTAACTGTAAAAATATACCTTTATTGCAATTGATTTGCAGTTCTGCTTTCACCAAACAACTCCAAGCACTCAACAGCTTTGTTTGCCAAGTAGCTTTAAACTCTTAGGACCATCAAAGTTTCTAGTTTAAACTCCATCTTTTTTTGTAATTGACATGATCTCATCGTGCTTCCAGGAAAAGACTGAAATTGGTGCCCTACTTCTCCCCATTGTTTCACACCCAAGTCTTTCCTATACTTTCCTTTAAAATTCCCTTTTGGTTTTGGTCTGGGAAAACAGAATTTTCTAATAAACCTTCCTATACATCTTTCACCGGATGCCTTCAGAACCACAGTGAACGAGGACACACGGCATAAATCAGAGATTAATATGGTACCTAACGTTTACTTTTGGATGTGCTTCTGATTATTTCAAATCCTCATGTACTCTATAATTACTGTCTGAGAATGTGGCACTCGGCTCCATCATAAGATAAAAACAAAGTACTGTGAAGCCTAGAAACACATAATTTTCCCTTTTTTTTAAAAAAAAGCAAACTAAAAGACCTCCCTTGTAAACTAGGTGACATAAAAAAATTAGATTGAAAACCAATGCACCGTTTATGTTTCAGACATCAAGGTGTAGGTCAATTGCTAAGGATAAAATCCAAGGTACCCTTTAGGTACCTGCAGTGCAATTCAGGGGCAACTAGATTTAATAGAACAATCCAAGAAACCCACACCTAACTGTCTACATATCTAAAATGTCATAGACATCTAACATCCCCTGGTCTATGTGTACTAACCTGCTGCTCAGAGCACAGTCTTGGGACATGAAAATGTGTGTTTGAACCTCTCAGTTTGCTCCTTCTTTGGTAGCTTTAAATTCTGGTTCTTTGCATGCCAAGAGTGCTTCTGTATTGATGGAGCCAGATGCCTAAATACCTACCTCCATTTTAAAATTCAAAAGCTACGTATTCCTACATCAAAGTACTCCGAGGAACTCAATTTGTTAGCTATGATCTTAGCATGCCTCAGGTGCTTACAGAATGCCTGGAGTGCTTTCCAAATCACAAGGGTAGAGCCACCTTTTACATAAAGTCATAGCTGTTAAAACAGTAGCCCACAGAAAGGGCTTGAGTTAACTCCATTTTAGTGGGGGGGATTGAAACTCAAGCTTCCCACAGCCATGAAAATGCTCAAGCTAGTAAGTGAAGACTGTTCTCTAGAGCGTCCATTTAAAAATTGAGTATACACCAGGTAAAAGGCACAGTAGTTTGTCGATAGATCAATTTGATATCCAAAAACACGTGTTTCAAGAAGTGCCAGAGGTGCCAGAGATCAGTCACACTTAATGCTCTCAGGCACATGTGTCCTGATTCCCAGATGGCCAAAAACTTGCAAAATGATCTTTAGTTTCTCTTTGATGCATTAATCTAACGTGCACTAGATTTTGCAGCCTTCTTGCATGTCAGCTGCAGCAGGGGCAGAAAGTGCATTAAACACTCCCGTGTACACTAGCACCTGATCCCATGGACTTTTTTTAAAAACTGTACACTTAACTTTCAGGACTGCCTGTGGTAATGCTTTCCATAGTTATCCTAATGGTTTTTAAAACAACCCTGGTGTAGACCTGTGGAAGGTTTAATAATTATTCAAGAAGGGTGTTTTAACTACTGTTAGAGACACTTTTTACGCAGCAGATAAAATTAGTTCCCCCAGAGGGAATGAAAAGATTCTGAAGTTCTTGCAGTTATTTAGATCTAGATATTTAATTTGTTTGAATTTTTACTTCAACTTCCCTGTACTGCATTTACAGCGTACCGCACACGTACATCCTACCAAGTCCATAATGTCTTCCACTAAGCCTGTTATGATACTAACATTTGTAACCTTTGCTGCCAGGTAAGTGCTTTCTCATCGTGCCAAGCTTCGTTATGAGGCAGACTGTCCTCTCCCTTCTCCCCTGTCGCCCCCATGTTAATTAGCTCTCCTTTCTGCGAATACACTGTTTTATCCACTTGCATATTACACTGTTGTGTTGCACTCTCTAGAGGTAATGTTACCCTTTTTCTGTGTTATGACATCACATAGAAATCTGGACTATTTCTGCAATGCCTTGCATAGTGGTACTGTAGAATATGCATACGATGGCACAAGAAATAAGGGTCTTTCAAAGAGAGTGCTATGTTTCCAAATAGTGATTTATCTGGTAATTTATTCCTTGGGCAATCAAGCCTTTGATTGGCATGATGAAAACAAAGGTAGTAAAAGCTGGGATTTATAGACACCAGGAGACAGACAATAAAACTATGATGCTGATGTTCTCAGCTACTCTTAGATCACTGTGAGGCTCAGCAGTACATCATACTTCCAATTACCTCTGGCAGTTTTCATACCTCAACAACTGCCACCAGAAAAGGAAAGGAGTCAGCAGTAAATGCTTATTATAGCAGTGCTGGATGGCAATAGACTTTGCTTTGTTCTTGGTCCCT